GCAGTACAGTGAATAGAAACACCCAATTTACAAAGTAAATCTCGACCCATTAAATTAACTGGACATGTCTGCGTAATCAAAAAACTATGTTCAAATTTTCTCCCATCAATAGAACACTCAAGCGGCGTTGTGAATGCTTCTGCAACCACATGACCAGATGCACTCCTGGAAAGAGTTGTCTTTCCAGAAAGTGAAACTGGTTGTTTAAACTCTGTCTCTTTTATTAGTGAAAATGTGGCTCCGGTATCAATTAGAAACAACATTGTCTTGTCAAGAACGTTTACTTCTATCAGAGGTAAAGATTTATGAGCCTTATAGAAAATATCAGCAAGCTTGTCTTCATTGCAAAGAGCAGAGTCAGAAGGAGAAGAAGAAAAAGTATACTCATCTGATGTGGAGACCGTCGGAGACCCGTTGCTCGCACCCTCCCCCTCTCAATCCGCCTGACTCGTTGTCTTGCCTGCCTGCGGGCACGAATCACGCCAATGTCCTTTCTGTCCACAAATGAAACAAGTGTCTCGACCTGGACGTTGTTGATTCTGTGCGAAATGTCCACCGTTGCCACGACCACGCCATTTGCCTCTTCCTCCACCACCTCTTTGGTTTTGCTGATAGTGGTGTGTTTCAGACGTGCGTCTTCTGGCCACTTTTCCAACAGTCTGGTCATTTGCACTAGTCCATATTTCAAAATCATCAGTCTCCTCAGTTCATTGAGACTCGGCCTGAATTCTCTGCAGAATGCAGCTAGTTCAGCACCCAGCTTGGCCCCGCCTAACTCGATGTTTGGCAGGTGAGCAGAGGCTTGTCTCATGTCCTCTTCGGTCCATGGTCTCATTACCAGAACTGTTCCCTCTGGCCCTGCTACTTCAACCATTGGTGCTTGAATAGCTTCAGAAGGACCTTCGTCGTCCTCGTCGCTGCTCTCAGTTTTTATTTCAGGCTCTGAATCTTCAGTCTGGCGCTTGCTGTTGGTTCGTTGCCGTCGCGAGTACGGTTTCAGTTTTCGCTGTCGTTTCGCCTTTCTCCGTGTGTTCAAAGTTAAGTTTTTCAGGTTTTCGTTCAGCAGTTCCTCTAGAATTTTGCTGCATTCCTTTCGCCCCTCGTCATTATATACTGTCCCAGAGCGAGTTGAAGATGGCGCCTCTTCGCTGTCCTCCCTCGGAGTATAACTGGGCGGTTGGGCAGCTGGTGCGCTGGCTTGTACTTCAGACGGCGCGCTAGCTTGCGATGGCGCTTGTGACGGCGAACTGGCTGGTGATTCTCCCGCAGCAGCTCCACTTAGACCAGGATTGAGAGCAGGTGGGCGTCGAGCCGGATAACCCCCGTCATCCATCATCATTTTCATAAATTGACCAAAGAAAGAAGAAAAACCGTCAGGAATGTTAGAACAGTCATTTTTAAAGGTAGAACAGTCAGTTTTAACATCCTGTAATGCTTTCTTTGATGCCTCCTCTCTTTCTTTATCAGAATTTGATGGTGCGATGGCACGAGAGCCTTGTTTTTGCTGTCTGCGCATTGCCTCTTCTAACCATTTCCCTATGATCTCACCACACTTATTGTAAAACTCTTTGTCTTTATTCTTGACCTCATGAGTCGCCCAATGTACTTTGGTTTGAGTCAGATGTGACACACTAAACCCTCCATTAAACCCATAATGGTGTGCTAAGTACGGCACATACTCATGATACCAGGTTCCCATTATTTTATCCATGGCTACATACGAGCTCTTAGAAAAATCAATTCGTTTAGAAATATCAACCCGTTCCTCCTCTCTTTTCGAATTTTTATTACCCATTTTCCTTGTGTAATTTGCTCCACAATATTTGTATTTGCGTATTTAAATCTTTTCCTCACGTGGTCACCACGCTCTCTTATCTACTGTATTAATTCTTTCCCCCAACGTGGCCACCACGCCTGCCTTTATTCGTCAATAAAGGACTTTCAAATTGCCTCCATCCGTCGACGGAGGTCTTTCCCAAATGAGTGCCTTTTGCTGTTTGAAAAATTACTATCAGGCTTATTTCAAACAGGCCCCATCTGGTGTTTGAGAAATCACTCTCAGTCTTTTTCTCAAACTCTGGCCCTTTTGGGGAAACAATTAATACTTGCTATTTGAGAAAATTACTATCAGGCTTATTCTCAAACTTCTTGAAACTTTACTTTCAGGTTTATTCCAAACCTCTGACCCTTTTAGGAAAAGTATTCAATACGCAAATAATTCTCTTATTTACTACGTAAATAATTTTTTCTCACCGTCTCTTGATGACCTTGTGAGTTCGCTTCTGGGAGTGCGTCACCTCGGTCGTCGTGATGAGTGAAACAATTCTCTCTCCTTAAGCTTGAGGATTCGAGCCGCAGAGTATACTGTTCTGGGGGTGATCAGCCAATTGTTCGCTCCTCACGCCGCTCCTCGGTTCAGCATCCCATCCCATCCTCGTCGCCATTTGTTGTGGAAATGATTCTATGTTATTCGAAAAGATAGGAGGAAGAAGACGAGTGGAAACCTTTTCCAAAGTCAAAGTATCAAAAGTTTATTTTCTTGCAAGAAAACAATTCCAATCTCTTTTTTGGCGTTCAACATACAGAACAGTGTCTACATGTGAAGGCGAAGGCTAGTCCTTCTCATCATCCTTATATACCTGAAAACCCAGGAAACCCATGCAGGCTAGGTCTGGTTTTGCTACCGATTGTCTCTTACGCCCTCTAGCAAGGAAACCTGTTTGCGCTGCCCTTGACTATTCTTGTAGACCGTATTTTTAATTTGGACAGCACAATGACGTTTGTGTTAAGTTTCCTATGTTCAAATACAGCTTCACACCTCAATTTATCTCTTGGTTACAAGTTATGTTCGACCTCACACCTTTCTGCTCAATTTATCTTTTGGGTGCAAGTTCTGGTTTATCTCACCCCTTTCTGCTCAATCTTTTGTTTGATCAAAACCCTGCACAAATATAACTTACACTTGAAATACAATGAGCTATTAAAATGTTTCCATGCTGCTTGCTTCTTTGTTAAACACAGAACATTATGTCCTCACACTAAGCTTACATTACTTATGCATTTCTAACAGTTTAGTTATACCTTAAGCTTACTCTAGCTTATGCATTTCTAACAGCTTGTTATATCTTTAACAATGTCCTTTGGATTACATGAACATCTTCCTTTAAATGCTTATGAGTATATGTTAGATGATATGAATATTTTCCTTTAAATGCTCATGAATACATCTTCTCCAATGTTAGTAAAAGTTACACACACATCTATCACATCTTAATGAAATAAAAGAAAACATATAAAAGAAAATAAAGATCATATATGAAAGAAAAGAAACTTGTATAAATGTAAAATGCAAAATTAGCCATTACACGCCTTCTGCTAGAAATCTTATAATGGGCCGTGGTTGGATCTTCCATCAGGACAACGATCCAAAACAAAAATCAACAAAAAAATTAGTTACGGAGCACAAAATGAAGCTTCTGCCATCTGTTATCTTGGCAAAAGTTTACAGATCTGAGGTTGCAAAAAGTTTTTAATAACAGGGTGCCAACAATTATGGCCAGAGTGTTTTGGAGAAAAACTTTTATTTCATAGTGTGATTTACCCCCACTTTCAATTCTTTTGCTTCAATGAAAGGTTAGAATTTTGCTAATTTTTTGAATGGAAGATCAAAAGGATAAACAATGCAGAATTGTTTTTTACATCATTACTCCAGTCTTCTTTGTCACATGATCCTGCTGAAATCATTCTAATATGCTGATTTTATGCTCAAGAAACGTTCATTATTACTTTCAATGCTGAAAACAGTTGTGCACATTTTTTTTCAAAATTCTTTGATGAATATAAAGTTCAAAGATCAGCATTTATTTAAAATATAATCTTTTCTAACATTATAAATGTCTTTACTTTAACTTTTTGATCAATGTAACTCATCCTTGATGAACAGAAGTATTGATTTCTTATTTTTCCCCAAAAAAATAAAATAAAAATTCTTACTGACCCCAAACTTTTTAAAGGGTAGTGTTTAATGTTACAAAAGCTTTAGATTTCAGAAAAATGCTGTTCTTTTGAACATTCTATTCATCAAAGAATCCTGAAATAAAAATGTAAAAAACTGTTTTCAACATTGATAATAATATTAGAGTGATTTCTCAAGGATCAAAAACTTTTGACCGCTAGTGTGTGTTTATGTATGTATATGTTGTCCTTTAAATTTTTTTCTTGTCTGACTCACCTGAATGAAAGGCTCATTATTATGCATGTATTTGTCTCTCTCAGGTGAGAATCACCTAATTATACATGATAATACTCAGGGCTGGTCTGTTCACGCCCATTCGCATATTGCCTTGGCAAACAAAAAATGTTTTTTACAATATAACCCAATTCACAGTTTTATGTGAACGCTGAGGAGGAGGATTTTCAGATCATTGTGAAGAAAAAAATTCTGGGCAACAACATCCATTAGTCAAAAGTAACGTGGACGCATATTTCGTATGTGTTTTGTGGCCTTATTTCAGAAACTTTCATTTTTAATTTTTTCAATAACCACGCATAAACATTATTCTCTCAAAAATACAAACATGTACATACATGTTGCTCACATATTATTGTTGCCCTGTTTGTGCTAAATATAGTGTATTTTCACCTGTGCCATTAATATGTTAATAAGCAACTGAAAAAACCACAAATGTTAGGGCATCTCAAAACATCTCAAGGACCCCAAAAACACATTGGACCCCAGAAGGTTAAGAAAGACAACACTGGCAAGAACCTAAACTCCGTCAGGTGACACAAAATGAAGAAATTTGTCACTGAATAAAAACACTATTGTAGAGGAAATAGTAGTTTTTGAAGATAAATGTTAGTTTAACTCGGCCTCTTTGCTGTACATGCTGTTGATATAAAAAATAAAAAACGGAAAATGTTTTTTAAAAAGTAATATTAGTATATAGAAAATGTATTGTATGTGTTCCATCTAATTCTGTGTTGTGACTTTATTGTAGGTTAAATGATTGTAACTTAACTGACAAAAGCTGTTCAGCTCTGGCTGCAGTTCTTGGATCAGAGACCAATCTGAAAGAGCTGAACATGAACGATAATGATCTGCAGGATTCAGGAGTGAAGCTGCTCTGCACTGGACTGAAGAATATAAAGTGTAAATTGGAGATACTGAGGTAAGTTGAGCCACAGGAGTCACATGACTAGAGTGAGGTGTAGGGGTGCTCCGATCAGGATTTTTGGGGCGATCACGATCCCCGATTCCTTGAAGCTGGATCACCGGATACCGATCACCGATTACAGGGTTTATTTGAAGACTTCTATTTATCATGTAGCATTACTTATTAAACTATATTTAACAACAATACCTGTGTATTTATTTGCAAGCAACATGTCCAGCATATTAACCTCTTAACCATTGCCAGAGTGCCGGCACACTGAAGCGTTTTTTTTCCAAATAGTTAAAAGTTACTGTCATATTTGATGTTATTTTCTTGACAAACTATACATCATTAAAAAGATATAAGATAAGATATGTCTTATATGATATAAGATAATGAGCGACACCTGCACGACTCGCCGGTCTCGTATCTCTCACGTCCCTCTGCCTCGTCCTGCTCGCCACAATTATATTTGTACAAACATTTTCACCTTAGTATTTTGTGATCTGGTGAAATAAAGATGAAGATCTCTCTTCCTCTGTCTGTTTCATTTGCTGATGAAGATGATGTGACTACAGAATAAAGAGTCTCTTATTTTCTTCATTCTCTCTCTCTCTCTCTCTCTCTCTCTCTCTCTCTGCTAATGTAGGTTAAGCTGCTGTGATATGACAGATGAAGGTTGTTCTGATGTGACTTCAGCTCTGAACTCAAACCCGTCACACCTGAGAGAGCTGGACCTGAGCGGGAATAAACTAGGAGACTCTGGAGTGAAAAACCTCAGTGATCTACTGATGAACCCACAGTTCAAGCTGGAGAAACTACAGTTAGTGTCATTATACTGTACAGCAATTACAGTGTGACTGAAGTTTATTTATTTGAAGACAGCTGGGCTTATGTTTCATTGGTTATAGCAGTGCACTTTCTGGGTTTCCTATTTCTCACATTTTTATGTGTTTTTATCTAGATAGTAGAGTGTAGATAGTAATTGTTTAATTCCCAACAAATGATACAATGTACTGATTGTGTACACACAGAAATCTGCTTTTTCAACAGAAAAAAATAAGAGAGTCGTCTTTTTAAAAATGAAAGCGAAGAAACAGTGTCTTCCAGCGCACAGAACTAGTGTGACTGGGTTTTAAAACAGACTATTGGAAACTAAATGCTGCTGTAGCTCTTCAATAAGATGATCATCATAGATGTGAACTATTGTTATTTCTCTGTCTTCAGTCTGAATAGATGCAGTATTACAGAGAAACAGAGTCTCATCCTGACTTCAGCTCTGAAATCAAACCCGTCACACCTGAGAGAGCTGGACCTGAGCGGGAATAATCTAGGAGACTCAGGAGTGAAGCACTTATGTGCCGTACTGAAGGATTCACACTGTAAACTGGAGAGATTGAGGTCAGTCACATTCACATACAAGAATCAAAATGCTAAAAATCACTTTAACTGTTTAAACTAGAACACATTAACATTATTGTGGCGAGCAGGACGAGGGCGAGGGGTCGTGATTGATAATGAGCGACACCTGCACAACTCACCGGTCTCGTATCTCTCACGTCCCTCTGCCTCGTCCTGCTCGCCACAATTATATTTGTACAAACGTGTGATGTGGTGAAATAAAGATGATCTCTCTTCCTCTGTCTGTTTTATTTGCTGATGAAGATGATGTGACTTTACAGAATAAAGAGTCTCTTATTTTCTTCATTCTCTCTCTCTCTCTCTCTCTCTCTCTCTCTCTCTGTGCGCATGCGTGAGCGTCTGAGCTGAACGAGTGTGGAGTGCGAGAGTGCTGGCCTGCGGGCTGTGTGAGTTTTCTAACTTTTCTTCTTTCTTTGGCAAAGTTGTTGGTGTATTTGTGGAGGTTTTTTTGGAGTCAGGGAGAGTAGGTCGCTGTTGCTCAGCGTGTGCTGTCCGAGATGGCAGCAGCATCGGAGAGCGTACAGTTTGACAAGCTAACGCGGAGGAATGGCATTAAAATCACGCCCGCGGAACGCTGTTCTATAGAAGACTGCAGCATAGCAGTTGCTCAAGTTGTGGGGTATAAGAGTATTTTGTCAGCATCTAGGATGAACAGTGCATTTGTTTTTTTCCTAGATGACGTGAACAAAGTAAATGAAATAGTCGCGAGTGGAATTGTGTTGAATGAGTCGTACACACCAGTGATGCCTTTGATGCAACCGGCGAAAAAGATTTTGTTGTCGAATGTTCCACCTTTTATAAAGGACGAAGTGATCCAAAGGGAATTGGTCAGGCACGGAAAAATTGTTTCACAGTTTAAAAAAATCGCATTAAATTGCAAATCGGCACAGTTGAAGCATGTTGTTTCTTTCCGGTGGCAGGTGTACATGATTCTGAACAATGAGAGTGCGGAGCTGAATCTCGCGATGAAGTTTAGAATTGATGATTTTGACTATGTCATTTACGCTACATCAGAGACAATGAAATGTTTTAAATGTGGACAAGGAGGACATCTTGCGCGTTCGTGTCCTGAGAATGTGGAACATGATCCAGGACAGAATAACATTGAAAGTGAGGGACAGAAAGATAATGTGGAGGATGAAAATCAGGAAAAAGGTGGAGACGTGCTAGAGAATGGTGAACAAACTAATCAAACAAAAATTGTAAGCAGGAGTAATGAGGAAACAATAGGAGAAAGGGAGTTTGAAAGAGCAAATGATGCTGCTGGCCCTGTAGATGTCTCAAGAGATATTGATATGACGGAGGATGACAGTCTGTTTAAAACACCGACTTTAAAGAGAAAAACAAGTGGAAAAAGTAGAGGGAAAAAAGCTAAGAAGGAGCAGGTTCAGGAAGAACAGACAGAGGAAAAGATGGTTCAAGAAACAATGCCTAACACTGAATACAGTAACTCAGATGATTCAGTATCAGGAAGTGAGTGTGAATCTGTAAGTTCAGTTGACTCAGTGTCTCTGAGAAGATCTGGGAGGAGTGCTTACACCCTTGAAAAAATTAAAGCTTTTTTGCAGAGTACAAAAGGCATGAAGGGAGTTCAAGTACTAGAGTTTTTTCCAGATCGTGAGTTGTTTATAGAGTCTGCAAAGATGTCAATGAAAGAAATTGGGTTGGGGGGTCTCACAGAGCAAGAAGTATACAGGTTAAAGAAAATAGTTCATAAAGTGAGATCCAATATGGTAAATGATGAAAAGGAGGTGTTTTAATTTTTCCTTTTTCTTTGTTAAGTTCTTGTTTTTGTTTTGCTCAGTCTCTTTTTTTTCTCATTTATTTATGAGTAATTTAAGGATGGGCAGCCTGAACGTGAATGGTGCAAGGGATTTTAGGAAAAGAGCAATACTTTATGAATTGGTGAGACAGAAAAAAATTGATGTTATGTTTCTTCAAGAAGTACATAGTGATATAAAAAATGAAAGTGAATGGATGATGGAATGGGAAGGAAAGGTGATAATGAGCCATAAGACTACCACTAGTGGAGGTGTAGCAATCTTACTCAGAAATAATATCAATCCAGTCTCGTGTGAAGTAGAGCATGTAGTCGGGGGACAGTGTTTGAAAGTACGGCTTGAGTTTGAAAAATTTTCTGTTGTATTTATAAATGTGTATGCACCAGTTTTGGGCCCTGAAAGAGTGTTGTTTTTAAACAAAGTTAGAGATACTGTAAGAAGTTGTAAACCTGAAGAGTTTTTATTTCTAGGGGGTGATTTTAATTGTACGGAAGATGATAAAATTGATAGAAATCACAAAGAACCACACATGCCTTCACAGTGTGTTTTAAAACAAATTCTGAAAGAATGTGAACTGTATGACATATGGAGGGTGTTGAATAAAACACAGAGACAGTACACATGGACACAAGTGAGGGAACGTTATGTGACAATGGCTAGACTAGACAGGTGGTATTGTTTTAAACATCATCTTAATATTATTAAACAATGTGCAATTTCTCCTGTAGGCTTTTCAGATCATGGTTTAGTCAGTTGTAATGTTTTTATCACTAATGTAAAGCCAAAAAGTGCTTATTGGCATTTTAATACGGTTCTTTTACAAGATAATTTTTTTCTTGAGGTGTTTGGTCATTTTTGGCAACAGTTTAGGAATAAGAGGTCATTATTTGATTCTTTGCAACAATGGTGGGATATTGCAAAAATAGAGATACAGCAACTGTGCCGTATGTATACTTTCAATGCTTCGAGAGACATTTCCCGATCTCTAAAGGATCTAGAGAAAGAGATAGTTGAAATGCAAAATTTAATTGAATCTGTTAGAGACAGAGAATGTGTCAAAGTTTTAAAAGATAAAAAGAAGATTTTAGATGATTTGTTGGGGGTTAAAGCACAGGGTGCTCTGGTACGCTCGCGTTTTCAGAGTGTAGTACAAATGGATGGCCCAACCAGTTTCTTTTTTGGACTTGAAAAGAAAAATGGCCAAAATAGAAGCATGCATTGCTTGTTATCTGAATCAGGCACAGAAATTATAGAGGCTAAGGAAATTAGAAAACGAGCGGTAGGTTTTTACTCAGAGTTATATAGCAGTGGTCACGTGGAGGAAAAGGATATAGCCAGTATGTTTTATGTGAGTCTGCCTAAAGTTTCGGATGAAGCAAACACTGAGCTGGAAAAACCTTTTACGAAAGGTGAGCTGTATAATGCCCTAAAGAGTATGGAGTGCGGGAAAGCTCCGGGGATCGACGGAATTCCTGTTGAGTTTTATAAGGCACTCTGGGCAGTTTTGGGTGATGATCTTCTGGAGGTCATTAATGACAGCGTGGCCAGAGGGTCACTGCCAACAAGCTGCCGGAGAGCAGTGATCACCCTGTTACCGAAAAAAGGAGACCTCACGAATATAAAAAACTGGCGACCAGTGTCACTCTTATGCTCTGATGTAAAAATCCTATCTAAAGCCTTAGCAATTAGGTTGAAGGAGGTGATTGGTGGGGTCATCCATATAGACCAGACATACTGTGTTCCTAATAGATCGATCTTTGACAACATTCATTTAATTAGAGATATTTTGGACGTCTCTAGATCATTGGGTTTAGATTTTGGCCTTATTTCCTTAGACCAGGAAAAGGCTTTTGACCGGGTTGAGCATAAGTACCTCTGGAGGACTCTGAGTGAGTTTGGTTTCAGTCAGGGTTTTATCAAAATGATCGGAGTGTTGTATGCAAACATTGAGAGTATACTCAAAATTAATGGAGGGTTGAGTGCTCCTTTTAAAATTACAAGAGGTATCAGACAAGGGTGTGCACTGTCTGGCATGTTATATGCTTTAGCCATTGAACCGTTGCTGGTAAGAATTAGGGCAAACATTGATGGGTGGAGTATACCGCAATCTGAATGTAAAATTAAGTTATCAGCTTATGCTGACGATATTGTGGTTATGATTAAAAATCAAGAAGAAGTAAACACTTTACAGGTAATTATAGAAGAGTTTGGTAAATTGTCTTCTGCTAAGGTAAACTGGTTTAAGAGTGAAGCCATAGTTGGCGGAAAATGGGAAGGTAGAGGTTTTCCTAAACTACCTGGTGGACTTGAGTGGAAGAAAGGTGGTTTTAAATATTTGGGTGTTTATCTTGGAGACGACTCAATGATGCAAAAAAACTGGGAAGGGGTTTTGGAAAAAACAAAAGGACGTCTAGAAAAATGGAGATGGTTGTGGTCAAAAATGTCTTTTAGAGGACGAGTGACAATTATTAATAATCTGGTGGTTTCAATGTTCTGGCATCGGTTGGCATGTATTGAGCCGCCAAGTGGACTTCTTGCAAAACTGCAGGCTGTAATTGTGGACTTTTTCTGGACTAAGCTTCACTGGATTCCCCAGAGTGTACTCTATCTTCCTAGAGAAGAAGGGGGACAAGGACTGATACACTTGGTCAGCAGAGGAGCAACTTTTCGCTTACAGTTCATTCAAAGACTTTTAACAGGTCCAGAGGATCTAGTTTGGAGAAATGTTGCTGGATCTATATTAAAACAAGCTGGAGGTCTGGGATTGGATTTTACTTTGTTTTTATTGGATTCTAACAAGATTCAACTGAATGGACTGACACCTTTTTATAAGGGGGTTTTTAGAGTGTGGAGTTTTTTTAAAAAGAGAAGAGTTTCTGAGACATCTTTATTTTGGTTATTAGAAGAACCGACTGTGTTTGGAGCCAGGTTGGATGTATCTAATGAAATTGCATGTGGTTTTGAAAATGTATTGATTGTTTCAAAAAAGGTTAAATTGTGTGATCTGATTGCAGCTGGGGGTCCTGGTTTAAATAACTCACATGGGGTAGTAGCTGGTCTAAAATTAAAGTCAGAAAGATTGGCAAGTAAATTGCTGTAGGTTTTAAAACAGAGACTTACGATGGAAGAAAAGTTTCTACTTGCAAGTTACGGGGAAGGGAAGGTTTCTCCAAATAATAAAGATCCTTTTCCTGAAGTTTTCTTTTCTCCTGATCTTAAAGGAGCAAATGGGTTAATGTTAGAGGACTTGGAAGATGTAAGTATTCACAAGGCTGACCGTAAGAAACTGTATCAAAATTGTGTTAAAGTATTAAATAAGAAAGTTTTAAATGGAAGAGTAGACACTGTTTGGAGAGACAAGCTTTGCTTGGATCATAGTATAAAGCCTGTGTGGAGAGTGTTGTATAAACCTCCTTTGGAAAAATGAGTTGGGGATCTTCAATGGAGGATTTTACACGGGGCAGTTGCTGTCAATGCTTTTATAAGTGTTATTAATCCTAATGTGTCAAATGGGTGTCCTTTTTGTAAAAAAAGGGAGACCATCTTTCATTGTTTCATGGAGTGTTCAAGGTTGGGTTATTTTTTTGATTTTCTTAAATTGTTGTTTAATAAGTTAAATGAGGTTTTTACTGTTCAGAGTTTTATTTTTGGTTTTCGGTATGTTGCAAAAAATAGAATAAAATGTCAACTTTTAAACTTCATCATAGGTGAAGCAAAAATGGCAATATACCTGAGTAGAAAGAATAAAATTGAAGGATCAGAAGGTTGTGAAGCTGTTTCTATTTTAAAAAACAGGATAAAATCAAGAGTATGGATTGATTTCAAATTTTATAAAATGATGAAGGACTTGACGTTTTTTTCAAATCAGTGGTGTTATAATGATGCAGTTTGTCTTGTTGTAGATGAATTTTTATTTTTTTCTTGTGTGTTACAATAAGTATTAATACATGTGATGTGTGTTGTGGTGACATTTATATTGGAATTGTTTTTAATGTCTAAAGAATTGTAAAATAAACGTTTTGTTAAAATTCAATTCTCTGCTAATGTAGGTTAAGATACTGTGATATGACAGATGAAGGTTGTTCTGATGTGACTTCAGCTCTGAAATCAAACCCGTCACACCTGAGAGAGCTGGACCTGAGCGGGAATAAACTAGGAGACTCTGGAGTGAAAAACCTCAGTGATCTACTGATGAACCCACAATTCAAGCTGGAGAAACTACAGTTAGTGTCATTATACTGTACAGCAATTACAGTGTGACTGAAGTTTATTTATTTGAAGACAGCAGGGCTTATGTTTCATTGTTTATAGCAGTGCACTTTCTGGGTTTACCTATTGCTCACATTTTATGTTGTTTTAATCTAGTTAGTATATGTAGATAGTAATTGTTTAATTCCCAACAAATGATACAATGTACTGATTGTGTGTAGACGCAGAAATCTGCCTTTTCAACAGAGAAATAGGAAAAGACATCAAATAAACAGTTAGAAATGAAAGCGTAGAAACAGTGTCTTCCAGCGCACAGAACTAGTGTGACTGGGTTTTAAAACAGACTATTGGAAACTAAATACTGCTGTAGCTCTTCAATAAGATGATCATCATAGATGTGAACTATTGTTATTTCTCTGTGTTCAGTCTGAGTGATTGCAGTATTACAGAGGAACAGAGTCTCATCCTGACTTCAGCTCTAAAATCAAACCCGTCACACCTGAGAGAGCTGAACCTGAGCGTGAATAAACTAGGAGACTCAGGAGTGAAGCACTTATGTGCCGTACTGAAGGATTCACACTGTAAACTGGAGAGATTGAGGTCAGTCACATTCACATACAAGAATCAAAATGCTTAAAATCACTTCAACTGTTTGAACTAAAACACATTAACATATTATTTGTACAAACATTTTTAACCCTAGTATTTTGTGATGTGGTGAAATAAGGATGAAGATCTCTCTTCCTCTGTCTGTTTTATTTGCTGATGAAGATGATTTGACTTTACAGAATAAAGAGTCTCTTATTTTCTTCATTCTCTCTCTGCTAATGTAGGTTAAGCTGCTGTGATATGACAGATGAAGGTTGTTCTGATGTGACTTCAGCTCTGAAATCAAACCCGTCACACCTGAGAGAGCTGGACCTGAGCGGGAATAATCTAGGAGACTCTGGAGTGAAAAACCTCAGTGATCTACTGATGAACCCACAATTCAAGCTGGAGAAACTACAGTTAGTGTCATTATACTGTACAGCAATTACAGTGTGACTGAAGTTTATTTATTTGAAGACAGCAGGGCTTATGTTTCATTGGTTATAGCAGTGCACTTTCTGGGTTTCCCTGTTGCTCACATTTTTATGTTTTTTATCTAGTTTGTAGAGTGTAGATTGTAATTGTTTAATTCCCAACACAATGTACTGATCGTGTACACACAGAAATCTGCCTTTTCAACAGAGAATAAAGAGAGACGTCTTTTTAAAAATGAAAGAGAAGAAACAGTGTCTTCCAGCGCACAGAACTAGTGTGACTGGGTTTTAAAACAGACTATTGGAAACTAAATGCTGCTGTAGCTCTTCAATAAGATGATCATCATAGATGTGAACTATTGTTATTTCTCTGTCTTCAGTCTGAATAGATGCAGTATTACAGAGAAACAGAGTCTCATCCTGACTTCAGCTCTGAAATCAAACCCGTCACACCTGAGAGAGCTGGACCTGAGCGGGAATAAACTAGGAAACTCAGGAGTGAAGCACTTATGTGCCGTACTGAAGGATTCACACTGTAAACTGGATAGATTGAGGTCAGTCACATTCACATACAAGAATCAAAATGCTTAAAATCACTTCAACTGTTTAAACCTCATTTTATCCTTGGGGTCAATGTGACCCCAATCGACTTTTCCGAAGTAAATAAACATGGTTCCCTTGATCTCAGATGCATAAAATTTTGTGACTTTTTCTACATTATCTATCTAGACACACAAAAACTTGGCTTGATTCGGTTATTCTAAAGGTATGTAAAAAAAAAAAAAGTCACACTTAGTACCTTTGGGGTCAATATGACCCCACATTGAAATGAATGGGAAAATCGAAAAAAAATGTGTTTTTTTAATCAGAAAATGTCTGTACTGCAATGAAGTCCTGGTACTAGAGCACAAATTCAGTGTGGAACAAACATGATAACATGCGCGCACACACACACACACACACACACACACGTGTACACGCACATAAACACACACACACCGGTGTGACTACAATAGAAAGCAGTTTTATAGAAATTGGCAAATAAAATCAATAATTCCTGCATAAATCTGAAAATTCTCACACATAAATGAAGGTCTTGTACTAGACCACTAATACAATGTGGAATGAACATTATCACACACTCATGTGCACAGACACAGACACAAATACACACAGAGATAAAGGTTTGACTGCAATAGGGAGCATTTTTATAGAAATTGGGAAATAAAATCAATAATTTCTGCATAAATCTAAAAAAATTTCACACACAAAATGAAGGAATGGTATGAAAGCACAAATGCAATGAAAATGAAATGAAAAGAACATGACTACACACATATCACACACACAGAGAGACACACACAAACAAACAGGTGTGACTGCAAAAGAGACCCTTTTTTATTGAAATTGGCAAAAAAAGAAATAATAATAATTCCAGCATGAATCTAAAAATGTTCACATAAAAATGAAGGCCTGGCATTGGAGCAAAAAAACAATGTGGAATGAGCATGATTACACACACACATGCATGTGTGCGCACACAAACACACACAGACACACAGGTGTGTTTACTCTTTACTATTCCTAATCGCCTATAGCTGTTTGTTTTTTGTTTTTATTTACCTTTTAAAATTAATTTCTTATTCTAAAGTTAATCATTTGATGCATTTTGATTATTGAAATAATATGTAATTGCAATTAAGTATTTTCTTTTAGTGGCAACTTATGTGGCATTATTGCAAATTTATTTGGGATTACTGCAAATTTATAAAACATTATTGCAATAACAAGATACTTAAAAATACCTCGAACAACAACAAAAATAATTCTAAACTTTGACAAAATACTGATTTAATGTATTTTAAATGTTTAAATATTCATAACAAAAGCTGTTATAAGAGCAGTAAGTCACATTTAGAGAAATGAATGGATCTCAATGGGGCCTCTGCTGGAAGTATATGGTAATTACACTTTCTGGCTAAAACTATATTATCTACAAAAAAACATCTAACCAGCAGATGGTAGAAATATGCATCAGACACCTAGATCAATATCCAGAAACAACTCATATTTAAATTTGATCATTAATGTGTTTTTTTCATAAAAATGTAATATTTCATATTTATGCTAATGCTGTAGTTGAGGAATTCTGCAGTAAATAGGTACAAAAGTACTTCATATCCCCCAAAACACAGCAAAAAATATAGATGAGAAGTAACTGAAAAAAATGATATATAATTTGTATTATTAAAATTAATATTTTTTAAACAATAGCTCTATGCATCTTTGGGGTCTTATAGACCCCAAATGCACTAAGTGTAAACAGGAAACTAAGACCATATGAGGGTTAAACTAGAACACATTCACGTTATTTGGGCGAGCAGGACGAGACTGAGGGTCATGAGAGAGCGGCACAAGGCCGGTGGCGTGATTGATAATGAGTGACACCTGCGTGACTCACCGGTCTCGTATCTCTCACGTCCCTCTGCCTCGTCCTGCTCGCCACAATTATATTTGTACAAACATTTTCACCTTAGTATTTGTGATCTGGTGAAATAAAGATGAAGATCTCTCTTCCTCTGTCTGTTTTATTTGCTGATGAAGATGATGTGACTTTACACAATAAACAGTCTCTTATTTCCTTTATTCTCTCTCTCTCTCTGCTAATGTAGGTTAAGCTACTGTGATATGACAGATGAAGGTTGTTCTGATGTGACTTCAGCTCTGAAATCAAACCCGTCACACCTGAGAGAGCTGAACCTGTGCTGGAATAAACTAGGAGACTCTGGAGTGAAAAACCTCAGTGATCTACTGATGAACCCACAATTCAAGCTGGAGAAACTACAGTTAGTGTCATTATACTGTACAGCAATTACAGTGTGACTGAAGTTTATTTATTTGAAGACAGCAGGGCTTATGTTTCATTGGTTATAGCAGTGCACTTTCTGGGTTTCCCTGTTACTCACATTTTTATGTGTTTTGTAGTTTGTAGAGTGTAGATTGTAATTGTTTAATTCCCAACATATGATACAATGTACTGATTGTGTACACACAGAAATCTGCCTTTTCAACAGAGAATAAAGAAGAGAGACGTCTTTTTAAAAATGAAAGAGAAGAAACAGTGTCTTCCAGCACACAGAACTAGTGTGACTGGGTTTTAAAACAGACTATTGGAAACTAAATGCTGCTGTAGCTCTTCAATAAGATGATCATCAGAGATGTGAACTATTGTTATTTCTCTGTCTTCAGTCTAAATAGATGCAGTATTACAGAGAAACAGAGTCTCATCCTGACTTCAGCTCTGAAATCAAACCCGTCACACCTGAGAGAGCTGGACCTGAGCGTGAATAATCTAGGAAACACAGGAGTGAAGCACTTATGTGCCGTACTGAAGGATCCACACTGTAAACTGGAGAGATTGAGGTCAGTCACATTCACATACAAGAATCAAAATGCTTAAAATCACTTCAACTGTTTAAACTAAAACACATTAACATTATATTTGTACAAACATTTTTAACCTTAGTATTTTATGATGTGGTGAAATAAAGATGAAGATCTCTCTTCTTCTGATTTATTTGCTGATGAAGATGATGTGACTTTACAGAATAAAGAGTCTCTTATTTTCTTCATTCATTCTCTCTCTCTCTCTCTCTCTCTCTCTCTCTCTCTCTCTCTGCTAATGTAGGTTAAGATGGTGTTATATGACAGATGAAGGTTGTTCTGATGTGACTTCAGCTCTGAACTCAAACCCGTCACACCTGAGAGAGCTGGACCTGAGCGTGAATAAACTAGGAGACTCTGGAGTGAAAAACCTCGGTGATCTACTGATGAACCCACAATTCAAGCTGGAGAAACTACAGTTAGTGTCATTATACTGTACAGCAATTACAGTGTGACTGAAGTTTATTTATTTGAAGACAGCAGGGCTTATGTTTCATTGGTTATAGCAGTGCACTGTCTGGGTTTCCCTATTGATCACATTTTATGTTTTAATCTAGTTAGTAGAGTGTAGATAGTAATTGTTTAATTCCCAACAAATGATACAATGTACTGATTGTGTGTACAAACAGAAATCTGCCTTTTCAACAGAGAATAAAGAAGAGAGACGTTTTTTTTTTAAATGAAAGAGAAGAAACAGTGTCTTCCAGCGCACAGAACTAGTGTGACTGGGTTTTAAAACAGACTCCTGGAAACTAAATGCTGCTGTAGCTCTTCAATAAGATGATCATCATAGATGTGAACTATTGTTATTTCTCTGTCTTCAGTCTGAGTGATTGCAGTATTACAAAGAAACAGAGTCTCATCCTGACTTCAGCTCTGAAATCAAACCCGTCACACCTGAGAGAGCTGGACCTGAGCTGGAATATTCTAGGAAACACAGGAGTGAAGCACTTATGTGCCGTACTGAAGGATTCACACTGTAAACTGGAGAGATTGAGGTCAGTCACATTCACATACAAGAATCAAAATGCTTAAAATCACTTCAACTGTTTAAACTTAAACACATTATACTCAATATCTGACAGTGAGTCTGAGTTCACATTATATTTATGTAAAATTCTTCACATTCATGATTTGTTTGTAAGATAATCTCTCTTCCTCTGTTTGTGTCTTTCTAGTCTACAGTGCTGTGGCATTACAGATGTTTCTTCTTTAACTCAGTCTCTGACTAACTCAAAAGCACTGCAGTTTTTAAAAGAGCTTGATCTGAGAGGAAATAAGATAGGAGACTCAAAGCGGCGGCTCAGAGACGAGCTACGAGACTCAAACTGTGTCCTGAGGTGAGGAAACATCACTGAGATATTAAAAACATCTTCATTTACCTCTGATATGTGAACAATACTTTCAAACATTCATGAAAGGAAATTATCATTAAGATTTGTTGCAACAAAGGGTTTGTGTGAGAACATTTTGAACACAAAGGAGGAAAGAGAAGAAAAGCTCACAGTCACAGCTTTATACATCAACACCTGCTTTATGAACTGTGTCAGTAGAAGTGAATCATTTGAGTGTGAAACAGACTTGGTCAGATTGTAGGAAACGCTGCACTCCTGCTAAAATCAGTGCAGTTCCAGCTTCAGCTCACAGCGTCCAGCTCACATGAGCAATGTCTCTGTCTCTAGTGTGTTTTTACTGTGACAAGCAACACGTCACACTACTCTACACTTACTTTACTCTCAGTTATTTACTAAGAGCCGACAAACATGTTTAAACTAGAGGACAAACGGCTTTAACTAAAGGTTTGTGTTTAACTCAAAATAACATTAGTATTTGCTCGCTGTGGTTTATTCCATACGCCGTACACTCATTAGTTTCTCCTTTACAGAGACTCAATAGGAGTCGCACCGACACACACACACACACACACACATGAACATGATTCAGATTTAAATCTATTATATTTAAAAACACAAATATCTCTATCCAATATCTTGTGAAATCAGTAATTAATCTGATTACAGGAATTCAATTTAACTTATTTTTACTCAAAAAACAATAATTGAAATATAATAATTTGCACTTTGTTCCTCTGAACAGTGAACACTGATTGTTTTCTCTTCTTTTCCACTTTACAGTGTAGATGAAGATTGATCACCAAACGTCAGTGGATTTCCATCATGGTTTAAATCTGTGAAACGGAGATGAGAGGAGCAGAAACCATCAGGTGATCCACAGAAGAGTCTCACTGCTGTCTATGAGGAGAAATACATGTGTAAATGTGTTTCATACAGGTGGAAGAGACTCAGACCCCACTATTAAATAAAGCAGCGTGTGTGTTAGCATGCATATTAGAAACATGTGATATTGAATGATTAATGTTGGTTTATTATTCAGCCAAATGATGGTTTAGTTGTAATTAAAGGTGGAACAGAGGAAGAAGCTCAGATGAGTGTCAGCAGAAATCTTCACTATCAGGCCTGCAAATATAATAATGTTTAGACTAAACTCATCCAGAATTATTCTAATATTTCTAATCATCAACGTGATGGTCAAGTAAAGTTTACATGAAACTTTTAAACATTTGCATAATCTCTAACATTTTATACACAGAATATGTTTATTGTTATTGTTTTATTGTATATGAAGTTAGTTGTGTGTGTGTGTGTGTGTGTGTGTGTGTGTGTGTGTGTGTGTGTTGCTGATGCACAGATGTACAGTATATTGTGTGTTTGTTCTGTGGATGAAGTCTCTTTCCCTCTACAGACCGACTAAACATTTCCCCAGTTAACAGCATTTGTGTGTGTTTCACTCGCTCCTCAGATAGCAGACGGATGTGGGCCACTTCAGGCGATGATGCGGCACTGCAGGCCTTCTTATGGCCCCGACAAAATGTGTGTGAGCATGAAGTGGCCTACATGTAAAATGGAAAATATGGCCCAAATATTTTAAATCACATGTGGGCCATTTTAGGCAAAGATGCGGCACTCATGGCAATGTGTAATCTGAATGTGAGCCTAAAGTGGCCCATATGATAAATAATGAAGTGGCAATGTAAATGTAAAAAAGAAAGGTGATAGACGTCTGTCAGCAAATAGGTCCTAACCGAAATATGAGTCAAGCCGGAAACACAGATCCTCGCTCCGTGATTGCACAGCGAGGGCTGACGTCTGGAAAAATGCACAAAACCACACTTTCCTCACTTTCCTACTTTGTTGTGAACTCTGACCTTGTGCTTCTCTTTCTGTTGCTGCTTTAGAGGGGAAGAAGATCTGTTCAGGTGACGAATACCTATGTTGGCTATGTTATGTTAATTTGACTAAGCATTTTAGGTTTTTTATTTGGGACTCTAATTTTGAAAAATTACCTGACTGAGCAGGGAGCAGCCATTTTAGTTTCAGTTTCGCTCAACTCTCTCAAGCATTAAGCTCCATGTAACTGCTACTCCAGTTTTCTTTAATGTTTATGCCTTCGAAAGCCTTCAGTAAGTAATCATTGTTAAATGTGTAAATTGAGAATATTTTATACATCTTCTATGCTATATTGATAATAATTAAGTGTTGTTTTATACACCAATTGCTCAACCGGTAACTCTGCTCTGTTAACCTTAATATTGTGTATATATTTTGTATTCTGTTTCTAAAAGCACTTTATTTGTGTATTGTTTTTGATAGTTTCACTCTCCTTTGAATCATATTGGAGTAAACATCAGGAGTTTTTCTTGGAAAACTACACCCTGACTCCAGTCTTTATTTGAAGGGAGTTTGGCTTGCTGCTGAATTGTGTTCACACATATGGAAACGCACAAGGAGAGCAGTATAGTGAAATGACATAAACTCAGCTGGCTGAACATCTTGGCAGACCCATACAGCAGCAAGTAGCTATCATCATGGCTGAAAGGTATCCAAAAGAGTGTAATGAATCTTGGCCAGGCGAGTTACATCAACACATACACACACACACAAACCTTTCACTTCCCCCACACATCGGAATGTGTGGAATGTTTTGAACAAAGAGAAGGACTTTTGGTGTTTAAAAACATTCAACAAAATGTTTTCAATGGTTTTTATGTATATGTGTCTTCCCCATGTCACAGTGAAATAACTTTGTTTGATCACAGTTTAAATAGGAATTAAAAATACCTTCGTCATGCATTTGAAACATAAGTGTATATTCCTTTGATATAACATAATGTTCCTTGATATCTCTAGAATGCTTATTGAATGAAACACTCGAATATGCATAGAGATGTAAAGTAAAGTGTATTTTTAATTCGTTTTACTGCCAATGAAGATCAAATTGTTATTATAGAACACACCCCCTTCCACGAGAAGCGCGCGCTGAGGAACAAAGGACCATAAAAAGGACCATAAAAGAAGGCTTCTCGCGTGTAATATCCACTCTCCGATTGGCTCAAGCCAACAGGAAGGGGATGGATTTCTCCAAGGTGATAAATGTGAGAACGCAGGTCCGCCCTTTTTCTTCTGAACTTTCCAGCGCTCAACATGTAAACCTCAGGGGACTCTGATCCAACCATGGGTCTTTCCTTTTGTTCGTCTAAAAGTTTCATCTTTTCCTCAAGTGGACTACCAAGTTCGTCTTCCAGGAAAGGAAGTGGACTTTGCCGAACTATCTCCTCGGGTAACGTCACCTCAAAGACTCTCAGCCTTTCAAACACTGGCGCTAAATGCCGACGAACGCCACGTGACTCCCCACGGAACAAAGCAGCCATGAACGAGCCGGGACGGGCCGCACCAACATGCCGCGGCCGCGCTTCACGTGACGCACGCGCGCCGGACCGGCGCACCTCTAGCCGACACGTGGCCCGAACGGGTCGAGCAATGAGCCCACGACTCACACAGACCACATGTGCCTTGCAAGTATACCTTCTTTTAGAGCTTCTAAGAAGCATTAAGAAGATGTTTTTGGGGTGTCAAGAAAGGTTAACTGACTGTTTTGATGAACGTAACTCTCTCTCTCTCTTACAACTCACTCTCTCTCTCACTCTCTCTCTCAAACTCACTTAACTTGCGCGTATCCATTGTCTAAACGCTCTGCGTCGTCTTAGTTTGTGTTTTAATGTTTGTAAATACATGTATCATTGTAACGTAGTGAATGCTTAAGTAGGAACTTTATTAAATACAAAATATGCTTACCTTGACTGATTGTCTTGCTCATGATACGGGTCAATGAAATGTCGATTTAAAGCTACACGCTTTACAGAACTATAAATACCTAAGAGGGTATTTGGTTATATAGCAGGGAAGGCAGATTCTAGTGGCCACAGAATTTGTTTTCACAAGCTATATAACTTAATTGAGCTAATTGATTTTACCTGTCTTGTAAAACGTGGTCCTTGCAATCAATAACAATTAATTTGTGGTGGATTGCGGGGATGCACATGTATGCATATGGGTAAAATTAATAAATTAACATGTAAGACCGGTCTGATCCAAATCTGTATGAATAATTATTAATTATCAATTATTAATTATGATATGCAAATTCCCCCCTGATCAGAACCGACCCAGAGTCTTTACATGAATGGTGGAGAATGCTGAGCATTTCAAACTTGTTTATGAGCAATCAATTTCAAGCTAATGTGTATATTGTTATTTAATATTGTTTATGTAATATTTAATATTACACGCGCGCATCGGAGTGAACGCTTTGCGAACTCACGATATGATTGAGCTGGGCACGAAAGCCGCCTCAGTCAAGCACATTTAACAAGCTGCTAAATGTTCAAACATTTTAGTCACTGTTAATTGTTAAAAATAAACTGCAGTTTCCATAGTATTAAACTTGTTCTGGCACAGATGGAAGAGAAACCTCTGCGCATAAACAACATTTTTAATAATTATAACTCCTCTGAATGAACGATAATCTTCTGAAAGAGTCGAAGACAAGATCGGTAAAACGATGCTCTTTTACTGTTCTTAAAAGGCCTTATATTATAATCGTTAGAGTAACGATAAGCTCCTGGTTGAAAAAAACATTGACTTAGCTACTCAATGTATAAAACCGCCAAGCATATTATCATAAGTGCTATTTGATATATGCCTGTTGGAGCAGGAAACAGACGAGTAATTCCTGTTTTCCTTTGCACAATGCAGCGAAGAAAACCTGCGAACGTGTTTTAAACAAATATAGCACCAAAAAATCCCAAACTGAAAACATTCTTATCATTAATACTAGTTGTGATAAATGTTATTTGGAGTTTAGAAAACAGACGAGTAATTCCTGTTTTCCTTTGCACAATGCAGCTAAGAAAACCTGCGAACGTGTTTTAAACAAATATAGCAAAAAAAAATATCCAAAACTGAGAACATTCCAATCATTAATACTAGTTTTGATAAATGTTATTTGGAGTTTTGAAACAGACGAGTAATTCCTGTTTTCTTTTGCACAACGCAGCGAAAAGAAAAAATCCTGCCAAACGTGCTTGTAAAATATCGTACCGGAAAGAAATCCGTCGAGATTTAAAATTCCGTAATATTTGTGATTATTCTCTCTTTGAGAAAATCACAGGGGCAGCAGGCTGGTTGTAATACTACTGCCAGACACTAGGGTGCGCCCTTGAGTGCTTTGCAGTATCAAATTTCCACCGGTGTCCTGACTTTACCCCGTGTGAGCGCAGTGGCGCCATCGTGTGGACACTAACAGCTAGGTCATCTTTTCCTCAAAATTCTCTGTTAGAAAATTCCTATTTTCTTACTGAAATTTTGAACTAGGTTCTCTAACTTTCAATGCATGTGCAATTTACAGCCTCGTTGTAATAACATGATTTTCTTTACCTTGCCTGTGTGCACTTGTTTTGAATTTGGTTCAAATGACATTTGAATTTAAAATTCAGAATTAAGTCTTAGCAGCTTCTGATGACCACTTAGAGGAAAGCGCCCCCTTGTGGCCGTCCCTTTGCTAAGTCATCAGCTAACCTCACTCTGTTCGCATGGCTCTCTCACTGTTGGTTGTATTCTGGTTATCACTGATCCCTCACCGTAATCGTGATTATCATCAAATATGACACCAACCTTTAATTTCCCACACTTATTCAAATTTGGTTTGAAACAGACAAATCTCAAAGTTAATTTGAATTAATTCTCTCATTTCCCATTGGGAATTGTTTATGGCTTTATTTCTATATTTCCTCCTCAAATTATTTTTAATAATTTTGATCCGGTCTCGGTACAACTGTACCCTTACTAATCTAATGGTTACTTAACCCCTATGCATTGGCTCAATTTGAATTGTGTTTAAATCAGTTTGAATGCAATTTAAATCAAGCTCTCTGTCAGCCCGGTGAAACACTAGCAGGAAGTGGACCAAAACCCTTAGTGGCCAAAACCTGCCACTACAGCTCGCTTCCTCCTGTGTCCTTCATTGCGGCACTCTATCCCTTTCCTGAATGGAGGCTAGGTTATTCTGATAAGTAACATTGTCATAATTTCTTTTTTTTTTGTTTGTACCATAATTTTAGTAAAGCTGTTGCCTT